ATGACAACCTAGTGAAGTAGTTAGGTTTTCAACTTTCTAAGTGGTAGATTGGGTGTTCAAATCCCATTGACAGTAAAAAATTTGAACAATTACCTATGTAATATTTGTATTATAACAATTGTTATTAATGATTAGGTTAGAATATCTGTAATGGTAGTCACACTAGCATAACTGGCAGGTTATGGAACATCTGTATAATATTGAAGTTATACAAAGAAATGCAAACTGACAGCTGAGTGGTACAAACACTAAATAAGTCTTGATGATCATATAAATTTATTAAAATTGGTTAACAAGAAGTCTATTTGGAAAGATTTAAGTAAAGAGATAGCTAGATCTTTAATAGTGCTACTGTAAAGACTAGCTTGAGGAAATGGAATCTAGGTCTTAGTAACTAAACAGACAAGAACCTTTAGATTGAGAGTCTTAGAGATATCACCAATTAGGCTGCTAAAACAAACCAAAGAAAAAAGATATTGAACCAATTTAATATACTAATGAACTAGTTGTAGTTCTATATGAGCTATTTAAATTAGAAGTCTAACAAAATTCAGAGGTATACTAAAGTACCAGAGTTATACTATAAAGTAGATGCTAGAGTTTAAATGAACTTTACAAGAGCATAGCAGTTTAATGGTTAAGTCTTAATTACAAGTGTTGGTTCTGCTATAGTGATATCTAGGTTAGTTATAATAATATATACAAAAGGCTCTGGGAAGTTTATCTCAAAGATAAATTAGTCCTAAGGTTGAGATAATAATCTGAACATTTGGGTATAACCCAGTAAGTTAACACAAGTTACAAGTTTAGAGAATTTAAAGTAAAATATCCAAAAAGGGGTATTAGATATAGCAATTAATAAAAAACCTTTAGACAAACTTCTTAAATAGGGTATATAAAAAAATTATATGTATAGCCAACTGTACACTCTCCTGTAGTAGTTCATTGAACCACAATATTGATAAGTAATTAATAAAAGTCAAAAGACCAAAAAGGTCATCTTAAAAAAAAAAAAAAAACTTATTACAAAATATATTTTAAAAAATATTAAACCAAAAATAGAATAATATTATTTTTAATTTACAAATCAAAAAGTAACAAATTTTTTTGAATTATATTATAACTATTTTTTTTATTATTAAAAACTGTACTTCATAGTAGTTATTTTATTAATATATATAAAATTAATTTACAACTATTTTTATAAAGATATAAGTATAGTTAGTTATATATACAACTTTTAATTGTTTATTTTAAATAGTTTGTTTTAAAGTTTTATATTAGATGTTATATTTATAATTTATTAGAAAATTATTTATTTAAACCTTTTAATTATTTGTCTTATTAATTTTTTAGTTATTATAAAACTTCTATATACTTAACTAGTATATTATTTAAGCAATATTGTACTTACTCTTTTTAAAATAGTTATTAGATTATTATATATTTTAAAGTATAATATTTGTTAATAAGATTTAAAAGACTTTTATTATTAATTATCTACTTATTTTACAGATTATTAAAACAAAGGTTTACTCTTATAAAGTTTATTTATATTTTAGTATTTACTTTATAATATATTTTTAATACTTTTAGTATATTTTTGCTTTGTTTTTAGACTTACAATTCAGATAGCTTAAAAAAACTATAATTTGTCTCTAATATATTAAGTTTAATTTAATTTTTTTTTAATTTAACTTAACAGTCTGATTAGTAATACTTCTTACTTAAAGATTCTTGTTTGTTCAATTTCTTTACATCGGTATCTGTTTTTTAGGTTTAACTTTTATAGTAGTACTGTCAAAAATTCATGTTATCTTTCTATTTAAGTTTTTTTAAGTAGTTTTTAGATTTTTTTAGTTTTATAAATTTATATAACTACAAGAACTTTTCTTAGAATTGCATCATCTAATACTATTTTTACTATAACATTTAATAATATTAAAACACTACCAAATAAATTGAATTTTTTTTTATTAATTTATTTAACAATTTTTTATCTTGATTTTTTAATAAAAAACTGTTCAATATATTATTTCTAAAAACAAATATACTAATTATTTTTATCTATTATAATTATATTATCTATTTACAACTTTAATTACTAACAATCTTTTAAAAATAAAGAAATGATTTCTTCAAACCTATTTACTAACCTCCTGTTTTATATAATAATAAAACAAACACTTTAAATTTACTTTAATCTATTTTAACTAAAAATTAATTTAAAATAATTAATTATAATAATTTTTAAAAAATAAGAGATGTAATATCACATTAGGTATTTTTCAAAAAATAATATTTTTAAGTAACATAAATATAGTTTGAAATCTAGTATAAAAATTTTTTTCTATATACTTACAAAATTTCTACTTTGATATTATATAAATAAATAGATAAAAATGATAACTTTTGTCTTTGTGCTATTATTTATCATATTTTCGTATTGAACAGAGAAAAAAATATTAATTAGTAATCAGCCTTATATATTAAATACGAAACTGATTAAACTTGTGATTACCTCATTAATTCGATATACGTAACTGATCTAAGTCGTGTTCCTGTGACCACGTGACATCAAAAATCGAATTCATAGTTAAAGTAACCACTAATGAAAGAAGTAAAGTATTAGTAGAGTAATAAGAAAAACGACCAAATTACCAAACGGAAGTAGGAAACACTTATCTGGACACGACACTACTACTAAAACCCCAACTAGCCCTAGTCATTCGGACCAATTCCTTCCACGCCTCGATCGAAGTCTTACCACTACTAGGGTTTGGCTATTATAGTCATAGTGTTCTGGTTAGAATAGTTTGATTAGTACTAGAGTTTGTAGTGAGTTATTCTATATCAGCCCTATAACTTTTCCGACGCGGCTCACACTTTCTCAACGTACAACATATGCCAAGACTTTTACTTTTTAATAAAGAAAATGTACTAAAAATATACGTATATACGTATGTATGTACGTACTATAACTAAAACTAAATAACGTAAGAAAATACTAAAATTGGTCACTTAAAACGTAATTGTTATAAATTGCATATACTGTACGTATGAATTTTGCATACGTATAAAATTTTTGGACTAAATTTTTTAGGTTTGTAGAACGTAAAACATTTTATTTAAAGCATCACAAAATTAATTAACATAATAGATCATTTATAAATACCAACAGAATTATTAAAAGTTTTCTTAAACCTAAACATAAATAACGTTCATAATAAATGTAGTTATTAATCTACGTCTTTCAATATAGAGATAACAAATAAATTTGAGTGTTACTGTTTATCATACTAGAGAGAATATAGTTACACGCCGTGCAGGGTTGATAATGCAGCCAATGGTTTTAATGAGGCATTCATACCAATGAATTAACCAATTATACATTAATAAGCATATCTTTTTTCTTTTTATAGACATATTTTTTAACCAAAATCGCTTAAAAAATTTTAACTATGAATTTATATAAAATTTGAATTGGTAGTTATTAAGATATCACAAATCAAAGTTTCGGTGCAGCTTCTTTATTAATAATAGTTTAAAACTTGGGGTACAGATATCTTGACTATTACTAATTCAAAAAAATTAATGAAAATTTATTTATTAGCGTTAATTTAATTAATTCAATTAATTCATAGACATAATTTGGAATAACCCCAATGAATAAAATGTGCAACTTTGACTCCAGGCATTAATCAAGATTAGCTATATAGTTATACGTACAATGGTAACGGTACAAATCATGTGAAGTATTAGATATATAGAAAACTGTCAAACTTTGTACGATCGGGTAAATAAATATGTAAGACATGATTGGTAAATTGTTTTTTATCTGTTATCGTTATAGGTCATTTTCACAAATACAGAAATATTCGAAAGTGTAGTAACGAAAAGGTTGCATAATTTTATCAATTATTGATCATATTGTTCATATTGGTCATATTTGATTACGGAATCCAAGGAAATCACAACAGGTAATGGACAATAAAATGCTACACGTACAGCACATCATATGTGTATGTTTATTGAGTCATTAAAATAAGGTTTGGTACACGCGTTTCTTCGAGACTTTATAAAGAGTTGATGTGTGCTATTGCTGATCACAAGAAAACAGGCGATTTTGATCGATCGACGTAGCAAATAAAAAATTTTAACACCTGTAAAATTTACGAGAAGACCTAACGCTAAATGTAAGCCTCAAAATATTTATTACCTCCAGCCAATTTGAAACATGGTGTCCACGTGTCAAGACAAAATACGGTCTACTGCATATAATTGGCATATAATTGAGTGGTAAAATATCAATATGGAACATTGATTTGCATTGTCTAAAAAAAAAAGAAAAAAAAAAAAGCTTTAATTTTTTATTATTTAATAACGATGATTTGATTCTTAATACTTTGTGTACTAGTTCATATATACTTTATTTGGTGCCACGTTTTGATAATGAAGCATTCTGTATTGGCAAGAATTGAAAGAATTAAAAATCATATACTTTTTTTTGTACAAATTTATGATAATCTGGGATCAATCTGGAATTAACTCTTGCAGTCCTACTCCTGAAAGTTTGTCAATATTTGTGCAGATTCTTCGGTGTTACGAACAGCGGACTTTGGGAAAGCTGGAAACTCCTTGGTTCAAGCAAGTGTCAAACTGTTATCTCATAGGTTGGTTTTTAGATGTTGTGGCTTATTTCTTAATTTTGATATTATTATTATATACGTCACCACATATCAAAATCGAGCAAAATTCCGCCCAACGAAACTAGGAAATAAAAAAAAAAAAAAAAAAAAAAAGACGCGGCTACACAATGTAAGCTGAAGTACTTTATAAAAATAGAATTATATTTTTTTTTTCGAACTTTTATTCCCTGACTATCATTACTATTTTATGTTTAGTTTCTATAATAAGTAGCTGTCCCTCGTATCTTCTTCTTCTTAATAAAATAACTTGCTCCGCTCCGTGTGCAAAACATCAAAAAGGACTCTGGCAACATGGAGCGGGATACTTACGCTCTATATCGTACCTTGGAGGTACAAAAAACTGCTACCGAAGAAGAGATTAAAAAAGCATATAGACGTTTAGCACTAAAATTCCACCCAGATAAAAATCCAGGTGCTACCGATCAGGTTCGTACTTTAATAATTCTCTATTTATTGGGACTAAAGTATTGATGAACTTACAAAAACCTTAGTACCTAGTAAATGCATTTAAACATGTTTACAATATTTTAATTTTTAAAAAAGTTTAAATGCTTTTCGCCCTTTTAAAACTATTACTACTTTTTAATACTTTTATATTATATATATATGTCTTTTACAAAAGTTCAAGTCGATTACTCATGCTTATGAAATCCTAAGCGATCCAAAAAAGCGTCAAGTGTACGATAAATATGGGGAAATGGGAATTAGTATGCTGGATTCTGTAGCCGGTTTCCTGTTAGATCCTGAAATTCAAGGACCATTATGCATGCTATTCACCATACTTTCAATTCTGGTTATTCTCATGATCCTATTTTTCGTCTTCTTATCAATACGAATAGATGGTTCTGTATCATGGAATTATGGAATTGTTTTCGTACCAATATGGATTGAAGATATTCTTTTATTTTTTGTATTTATTGCTTATGCAAATGCAAGAAAAGATCCTTCTGAAAATGATGATGATGATTATGAAGGTTTATATCATCAAGATCCTGAGGTTAGAGAACAAGCTAGGGAAGCAAGGAGAAAACAGCTAAAAGCTCTCTCAAGGACGCGGAATTTTTTATATAATATTTATTTGGTAATGATCTTATTATTTCAAGTTTTTATCGTTCTTCGAGCTGATGATATAATAAGATGGAGTGCCGCTATTATATTTGCTCCTTATTTTGTTGTTGAAGCAATCAATTTATATCCTACTTTCATAGAATATTTGGATCTGTTAAAATCTCCTATAGTACTTGATATCAATGGCAATCCTTCTCTTTATCTTAAGATTAGGTGTTTCATTGATACTTTTTGGTGGTTTGCCATCCGTATATCTCTTGCTATTTTGATTGTGCTTAGAATCGATCAAATTATCATTTGTAGTTGGGCCGTCGTTTTCATTCCATTATATTTAGTTGGTATTAGATATGGTTTTCAAATTTTATGGCTCTGGTGGAATTTAAGGAGAACTGAGCCTTTACAAAATAAGGGAAGAGTCGATGTTATCGTTGGTGCCATTGCATTTTTCTTGGTGGGTTCCTTATCTTATATTGTTGTAGGATTATTGGCTAGTAGGTTGGATGGTAATACGGGAATAAAATTATCTTCAATCCTAATTCCTGTATTTATCACATTATCGCTCGTCTTTTGTTGTACGGGGTGCTGTTTACCTTGTGCTCTCTTAGCATGGAATGTGGATGATCTTGAAAGTGGTTCGGATTCTGCGTTTAAAACTCATGACAAACGGATTACTTATCCTACAGCGGCTGGTCCAAGTACTTCATTTGCTAGTGGTAGCAATGGAACTGTATAATATTCAATTATTAAAAATATAAGATTTAATACGATGCCGATTACTATTTTTGCGATCTTTGGCTGTATAGTAGATTTAGTTATAATATTTCTTTTCTCGGCATCTCTTCAAAAAAAAAAAAAACCTTGTTAATTTTTCTTCATGATGTATATTAATAATTACACAAATTAAGCAAACTTTTTTAAAAAAAAAAAAAATTTAGACAATATTGAAAATTTTAGATTTTTTTTTTTGAATTGTCAATATTCATGAACTCAAAGTATTTAAATTATTATTTCTTTTTAGTAAGCTTCAGACTACTCGCAATCATTAAATTTGTAACCAAGAACTTTTCATAATATTTTTATTTATTATTTTTTTTTTTTTGTAATGTTTCTTTTTTGTATAGCTGATAGGTTTTAGATACATTCGTAATCATTCGTCATAAATTCCTTTTATTTTAAAATTTTGTATATTGAAAAAAAAAAAAAAAAAAAAAAAAAAAAAACGTTCAGATAATACAGTAATACAGTAATACGTATAAATCAAACCTTTTAATAATTCCCTAGTTAAAATTTTTTTAAATATTTTATTACCTTTCCCTAAAACGTCGAATACAGTCCACGAGACGGTCACGAGACCATAACAATGACGAAATTCTAATTTTAGTTTTAGTTAATTGATTGGTTGAATATCGACTTTTTTCTTAACATTCTATTGGTTCAAAGTAATGTGTCAAAGATCGAAGCAGAGCATTCCTAGAATTTCATAATAACGAATCAACTCTTCTTACAAACTGATTGTTATAAAAAAAAAAAAAAAAATCTGAATAAATTAGTATATGTACGAGTTCTTTGTGACAAGCATATTGTAAAGTATTATCGAAAGATTCCTCTTTACAGTATATAAATTTAGCCTGGTGATACGGCCAGATCACCATATTGCAAACTCTGGCTACAAAGTGATTTACCTTGTTTAAAGATCGTCAGTCTTTGAACTTTGATCGTACCTGTAAAGTCTTTATTACATCAGTAACGTACGACTTCTATATATCAAGTCATAACGTTTCAATATGACCATGGAGGTTAAACAACGTCGTGTTAAAGTGTACCAATTGAGTAGGGAAAGCGAATGGTTGGACAAAGGTACCGGCTTTTGTACCTGTTTAGTTAACGAGGTAGGATCGCTCTCCTCTCTTCATGTTTTAAACAGAAACAGTTCCTGGATGCAGTTTGTCTGTATTTTTTTGGTCAAACAAGACCCGGAACGTACCTATATTCGGTTATTAGCTTGATTCCTCTCTAGTCACTATTTTAATTATGAATTCAACTTTCGGATTATCATCATAATGATTTGGGCTTACTGGTTCCAATATTTCATTAAATTTAGGCAAAGGATGATGCATGTATCATCGTACGTTCTGAAGAGGATACCGCTGTTTTATTACTGAATTCTCGAATAATGAAAGATCATGATTATCAAAAACAACAAGGTACTCTATTACACATATAAAATAATGAACCTTTTCTTTACAAAACCTTTGGTATGCTATGTAGCGTTTCCGAAAATTTTCTATATTATCCAAATCTTTTTCATATTTCTTCTAAATTCTAAATCGTCTAGAAAATATTTATTAAAGTTGCATAATATATCAAAGATTTTTTGGAAGAATAACTTACAGAAGATAATTATACTGTTTTACCTAATATTTTTATTCTTATTTATTTTATGATAGACACGCTAGTAGTGTGGACTGAACCTAATGGATTGGATTTGGCTTTAAGTTTTCAGGAAGCTGAGGGTTGTACAGAAATATGGTGCGGTATAGAACATGTTTCAGATAAAAAGAATTTTCTGTGATATTGGTAGATATTTTTAATTAAACACAATGAAAATATAGGGAGTTTATATCGGACATTAAACTTCGTATGGGCAATTCAAATTCTAGTGGTGAGTTATCACTAGATATTGGATTATTCTAGAAAACACAAAACATTTCCTTTTTTGACTAAATTACATTATCATTGATCAATCTTTTATTAGATACGCGATCCAGTCCTCCACCAGACCCAGAAATACCAAACATGTCAATAAAATTACCGGAACCGACTTTATCTAGTTTAGAAGAAATTGAAACAATAATTAAAGTTTCAAGTCGTTCCATTTATGAACGAGAAAAGTTAGCTACGTTTGTTACTCAGGTATATTTATGTATATATATCGCACATTAAATTAATTATTTATTTCGTGTTTGTCATAATAAAAATTATGTCATAAACTTTGATAAATTTTATAGTTCTATGGTCTTATTTGTATTTACATTAATGTTTTTCTTTCGAATTAGGGTTACATTGCTAAATTATTACCTCTACTTTCGGAATGTGAAGATCTTGAGGATTTAAAAGACTTACATAGGTTATGTAATATAATGAAAGGCATTAGTATGTATTCTTTTAATTTAAATATCCAAACATTCATTAATTCATTAATTAATGACTTAATTCTAATTTAACATACATCTGTTTTTTTTAGTAATGCTTCAAGATAGCGAAATTTATGAATTTATTTTACGCGACGATGTAATTATGCAGGTTGTTGGAATGTTGGAATGTAAGCTTGATATATACAAAATTTCATATCGTAATTTATTTCATTCTGGTTACATTGATTTCTAACATTTTAACCCTTTTTTTTTTTTATAGATGATCCTGAATTCCCTGCTTACAAGGCTAACCATCGTCAATATCTAGCAGATAATTCAAAATTTAAAGAAGTGAGAATCATTATTTTTTTTAGGCTACAATATTATATGTGGATATTAGGATATTTAAAAATTGTCATTTATTTTTTTTTTTGCAGATTGTCAAAATAAAGGATAAGACGATCGAAACAAAAATTCATGAAACTTTTCGTCTTCAATACCTTAAAGATGTAGTGTTTGCACGTGTATTCGATGATCCAACAAGTTCTATACTTTCATCGCTTATTTTATTTAATCATGTTGATATTTGCAAACATATTTCACAAGATGATGAATTTTTGGAAGAACTTTTCAATATTCTTAATGAGGAAGATGGTTCACCAAAACGTAAACATGATGTCATCATGTTTGTTCAACAACTCTGTTTCATCGCAAAAAGCATTCATTTACCACATAAAAAAGAATTATATAGGTTGGTACCAAATTATTTATTAATTATCTGTTATTAATATAATTATAATTATAGATCAATTTCTAATTAATTAATTAATTAATTAATCAATTAATTAATCAATCAATTAATTAATTTTAGGTCATTAGCAAGGCATGGATTATTTAAAGTTTTTGACCATTCATTGGTGGATGATGATTCAAGTATCAAGACTGCTGGTGGTGAAATATTAGCGTCTCTTTTGGATACAGATGCAAGTATTATTAGATCTCATATTGTGAAACAAGCTGAGGATAAAAAGAAAACTTTGGCGGAAACGATTATTGAAAGATTTATTCAAGATCAAGATTTGGGTGTAAAAGCTCAATATGCTGAAGCACTTCGACTTTTATTAGATATGAATGCTGGGTTATCAGAGATGGGTTTTATAGTTCCTCCAGAGGTTAGTTTATTATATGTTCGTTAATTATACGTTCTTTAATTATGTGTGTTTTTTTTTTGATTAATCATTTATTCGTCAAAAATAGTCATTACCTCTACTTCAACCTAAACATGATGATGACATTGATAATTTTTTAAACTTATTTTATGAAGAGCTGATATCAAAGATGGTAAAACCCGTTTCAGATTTACCAGATTTTGAAAAAGAAGATGGTGAGTATCAACATTAATATTAATATTAAATATTAAATATTAAATATTAAATAAATATTAAATATTAAATATTAAATATTAAATTTGAATAAAAATTTTTTTATATCCACATAATAATAATAATAATAATCGATTTCTTGTTTAATTCATTGATCTGAATAATTTTGTAGAGGTTCTTAAATTATCTTCTGACGTAGCAGCATTATGCTTTCATATATGCGAGCTCTTGTCATTTGTTATCAAACAACATACTTTTAGAAGTAAATATTTTGTATTATCGACTGATATAACATCAAAAATAAGCATTTTATTCAGAAGTCCTGAAAAGTATTTAAAATTAGGTGAGTTTAAAAAATTTATTGTCTTTTTTGTAATGTTAAATAAATTAATGAATATTAATATTGATGTATTTATTATATATATATATTTTAAGCCGCTCTGCGGTACTTTCGAGCCTGTATAGGTATGAGGGAAGATTTTTATAATAGATATCTAGTACGTAATAATCTTTTCGATCCCATAATACACGTGTTTATGGAAACGAAAGGACGGGATAACTTATTAAATTCAGCATTTCTTGAGCTATTTGATTTCATACGAAAGGTATTGTTGATCATTATTTATTTGTGTAATTAAGCATGAATGTTAATATTTATCATTGAATAAATTTTTTCTTTTAATTTAATTTGATGATTAGGACAATATTAAATTTCTTATAAATCACATAATGGAAAGGCATGGTGAACAATTATTAAAAATTGATTATGTTGACACTTTTCAACAACTTCAACTTCGTTATGAACAAAATAAAGAAATCCTTATTAGTGGATCAGATAAATCACCAGGAGAATCTAGTCAAAAGTATGTTTTTTTTAAAAAAAAGTTTCGTTCGTTTTATTTAGTGTATTTTTAAATTGCTATTTATCAGATTTATTTACATAAATTGTAGTCAAAGCAATATACGTCCAGGTCGTGGGGGTTGGTCATCTGCAATAGGGGATGAAGATGAAGAAGCATATTTCAATACATCAGATGAAGAAGATAATATTAGTAATACATCTGGTGAATGTTCGAAAATTAGCACAATAAAACAAGATGAAGAATCTAAAGAAGGATCACTATCTGAAGATGAATCAAAGGCATCAGTAGATTCAAAAGATGATTCAAAAGATGATTCAAAAGATGAGTCAAAAACTAGTGTAGGGACAGTGGGATTGGTTGACTATCCAGATGAGGATGATGATGAAAATGTGAAAAAGAACATTGATGAGTTAGTAACTCCCGATAAACAACAAACATCAACTTCACCACCATTATCACCAAGACCAACCCAGCCAATCATAGGGAAGCGATCAAGACCTGATGATGATGACGATGACGATCTTTTGTTACGTGCAAAAACAACACAATCTACAGCAAGTGAGACAGCCCTTTCGTCAAATGGGTCCTCTCCCAAGAAAGGTGGATTGAAGATCCTACGGTCGTCTCAGACTTTGAGGCCGAAAATGAAGAAGGCACGCACAGAATAATTTCATTTTATGTGGGGTTGGAAATAGTGAGTCTTTATTGGGCGTTTCATGCAAATTTTAAAATTAGTTATACTAATTCATTCTTTTACAATAGGCATGATTGATGGATGACCTTTCAATAATCGAAAAAAAACATTCCATGAAATTACCGTCGGCGATCATAATGGGATCGGATTAAAATGATATAGAGGGTTTCGTTTTAGTCTCTAAAAATCCACTTATACTCTTCTATTAAAAGTTTAACCCTGAATCCTAACCAAAACCCTAAAAAAAAAGCCTAAACAAATGCACCCCCAAAAAAAAATTTTTACCACGGCGCGTAAATTTCCAATTAAAATAAGGCAAATTTTTCATTTTAATCTGATTTCATTTTAATTCGCCACAATTACTATTTATATTTAAAAAATGTGTTTAGACAAAAGCAATATGTGATCAATATTAGTGCAAACGAAATTCATAATTTAGTTTCAATAGTTATTCATTGCGTGAATTTCTGCATGATTTTATCAATCTGTAAACTTGGCGTTTGGTCGTCCACTATTGATGATGAAAATTTTTATTGTGGAAATTTTACTAACTTAATTTTACCTTTTTGTATCTGTTTAATGATTATATTAATTTTACAAATCAAAATTAAAAACAAAAAAAAAAGAGGAAAAAAAATTTTTTTACTAATATACAGATCGCATTTGATTTCTGGATGAAAAAAAAAAAGAAATCAAATGTCTTTGAATTCATTCAGATATATATTATTTATATTATCTTTTACATTTCACACAATAGTTGTAAATTTTGTTTGATATAATTTTTTTTTTTTTTTTTTTTTTTAAATGTATTACAATATTTAACCTCTTTCAGTGAATCTATTTTTGTATATTTTTAGGGGTATATGTTTTTAGAGATAAATTTTTTTTTTTTTTTTTTACTACTTTATATCCAAGTTGTATGCGTGTATACAAGAATTTTTGATATACTAAACAACGTCAATTTCTAAATAAACAAAAAAAATAATAATAAACATGCAACATAATTACAAATTACATTGCATAATTATATTCGGTAAGATTTAATATATTTATTATTAAAAAAACGGTGAACCTACTTGATACGTACCTACAGTACGTATTATAATTTAATTAATTTATACATAGCATACATATTCGGGTATGTTACTTTCCACCTATATTATACCCGGGGATACATTGCATTGAAAGGGGGTATAGTAACTGAAAGGATTCCTGCTTGTTGTAGAAGAGTAAGACCCGCTTTTAAGCCCAACTTGGTTATCAGGTTATGAAGAAATTCGCGTCAGCATTATATTAATGTGAAGATAAGGAATATGTATTCGCGGAATTCACGAAAATGGGCTTATAAAACGACCTGAATTTAGGATCTGCAATCCTGGTTAACATTAATTTTTGGCCGTCCAACTTTATATAATTTTGTAGAATTCTTTGCTTTTTTTATTATTTTAATTCTATAACCTTTTCAAGTAAATATTTTACAAGTTGGATATAGAGATATTGATACTATCTCGTCTTTATAAAACTTATTTATGTAACTTTTTAATATAGAATCTTTTGTAATACTACTATTATACGGTATATAGTATTTATATTTTTATCATATCAATTTTTTTTTAGAAATTTTTATTTTATTTTGTATAATATTTTATTTTGTATAATATTTAGTTTTGTATAAAGTTTGAATTATAATTTTAGAGTTGAAGTTTAGTATAAATAGGTATATAAGATTATTATATAATTAAAAACTGAAAACTAGTGCAAGTTTAAAGCATAAGTATTATATATTTTAAAAATAAGCTATTTTTTTAATAATTCAAATAAAAATAATAAAAATGATTTATTTTTAAATAATTAATAATAAGTGTTAGATATATATAAGTTAACATTTTACTAAGTAAATTATTATATATTAAGATGATTTTAATATGCAATTTAAAATTAATAAAATTACTTATTTTGCTGTTGTTTTTTATATAATAAAATACTTTCAAGCACAAGTTATATTATACAAAATTATATAAAAAATATTTAATAGTTATTTTTAAGTATTGTTTACAGTACAAAAAGTACAAAATCTTATTTGTAAATTTAGATATAAATTGATTTAATATAGTTTAAGCTTTGATTTAATTAAATTTGCTAATTAAAACTAATTTGATTTTTGTTAAAACAAAAATATTATTAAATACAAATTAAAAATTGTAAATATAATAAAGCAAGTTTAAAATTATAATTAAGTATTAATTTTATAAGAGAAATTTGAATTATATAAAAACCTTTATAGCAAAAATGTGCAACAAAACAAAAATTTTAATTTTGTAATTTTATAAAAATTAAAAGCTTATTGCTTTAATTTTTTAAAAAATTAAAAAAGTTTTTTTCTTGTTATGCTGTTTTACTATAAAAGTTTTTATATATTATTTTTAACAAATTAAATTTTTACTTTAATTAATATAAAACTAAATAAAATAAATAGTAAAATTTTTAAATTTTATATTAATATTAACTAAAAGTATAAGTTTTTTAAAAAATCTAATTTTATATAAAAAAAAATTTGAACTGCTTGTTATAAATCTAATTTGATTGCAAACTTAATAAAAATTCTAATATTTAATTTTTTTTAAATTAGTTAACTTTTTTAATTATTTATTAAACTTTTATTATGTATGATCTTTTTTATCTTTGAATTTTGTTTTTTTTTAAGATAATCTTTTTGGTCTTTTGACTTTTATTAATAACTTTTTTGGTAATACAATTCTAAAACCATTACAAGAAGAATATACAATCAGTTATATATATAACTTTTTTATATTACTTATTTAAGAAGTCTACTTAAAGGTTTCTTACTAATTGCTATATCTAATACTTTTGCTTAAATGTTGCATTTTAAACCTTTTGAACCTGCATTTGTGTTAATATTACTAAGTTAAACTCAGATTATCATCTTAACTTTAGGACTATTTTATCTTCAAAATAAACCTTTTAGAGTTTTTTGTACTTATTTTTATAACTAATCTAGTTATTACTATAGCAGAACTAACACTTGTAATTAGAGTTATATTATTTAACTACTATGCTCTTGCAGAGTTTACTTGAATCTTAGTATTTACTTTACAGCATAATCTCAGTATTTTAGTATACCTCTGTCTGTTCTCTAGACTCCTAATTCAAATAGCTTATATAAGACTACAACTAGTCTATTAGTATATCAAGTTGGCTTAATATTTTTTCTTTTGGTTCATTCTAGTGATCTGATTAGTAGTATCTTTAAAACTTCTAATTCAGAAATTCTTGTTCATCTAGGTACTTTGACATTAATATCTATTTTCTTAAACTAGTTTTTACAGTAATATCATCAAAAATCTGTACTACTTTTCTATTTAGATCTTCTCAAATAAAATTAAAATACTTGTAATTATGATTATACTAGCATAACTGACAAGTTATAAAGTATTTGTATAACTAGTTATACAAAAAAATGCAAACTAGTACTGAGTAATACAAACTCAAAATAAGTTCTTAAAATTGTATAAATTTATAAAAATTAAAAAATAAAAAGTTTATTTAGAAAGACATAAGTAGAAAAATAATACAAATCTTTAATAATATTACTATAAAGACTAGACTTATGAAATAGATATTAATATAAACAGGTTGTCAACCCCCCAAGTGGTAGGTTGGATGTTCAAATTCCATTGATAACAAAAATTTAAATAATCACCTATATAATCTGATATTATAGCAACTGTTTCTAATAATTAAATTAAGATACTTATAATTATAATCATATTAATAAAATCAAAAGATCTAAAAGATCATTTTAACATTAAAAAAAAAGTTTTAGTTCTGATTATAATGTTATCAGATTAACTATAAAATAAGATATAAAAAATTTTAAAAAGTTTAATATAAGGTTAAAGATTTATTATATAAGTAAATGACTTTAAAAACTTAGTAATCATGATATATAAAATAAAGTCAATAGAAGTAAGACAAATTTATTAAATAAATTTGGTTTATTTCTATTAACTCTACTCTATATTTATATAGTATCAGATAGTAAAAAACATTTAATGTTTATTAGTAAAAATTTTAAAGTATAATAACTTTTCAAAACAAATTAAATTAGAAAAACCTTTAACAAATTAATAGATTTTTGAATAAACTACATTTTTGTCAGATAATTTTTTTTTGTTCTTTGTTTTAAAAAAGTTATAAAGAATTAAAGTTTATATAAGTTTAAAAAATTGATATTTAATATAAAAAAAAAGAAAACATATATATTTTTAACTCCTTAAAATTAATTGCATGAAAATTAGCCAATCAGAATTGATCCTATAAGCACCAAAAATTGGCAACTATATATATAGATTGATGTCTTTTACTGTTCTGTACTATACTAATAATAACAAAAATATTTTGTAAATATAAGTAAATAAATATATATGAAATTTAAAATGTTTAAATAATAACTTATAAATAAGTTTTAGATATGACAAATAGTATAAAACCTTCAAGCGAGTGTGGTAACCTAGTAAAGTAATCAAGTTGTCAACCTTTCAAGTAGTAAGTTAAATGTTTAATAGCAAAAATTTAAATAATTATCTATGTAATATTTGTATTATAACAACTATTACTAATAATTGAATTAGAATATATATAATAATAATCATATTAGCATAACTGACAGGTTATGAAATATTTGTATAACTAGTTATACAAAGAAATGCAAATTAACAAATTGGATAGTGCAAACACTAAATAAGTCCTTATAGCTGTATAAATTTGTTGAAATTGAATAACAAGAAGTTTATTTGGAAAGATTTAAGTAAAGAAATAATTAGATTTTTAATGACCTTACTGTAAAGACTAGTTTAAGAAAACAGATACCAAGGTTATAGTACCTAAACAGACAAGAACTTCTGAGTTGAAAGTCTCAAAAGTACTACCAACCAGACTGTCAGAATGAATCAA